CGTGCCAACCCTTATAAACTCCCATAGACTCAAAGACCGAAAAACTAACTCATGGTCATGAGAATGTTCAGATAATGAGAAAAGTGATAAACTGAAAAGATAAAAGAGCCCTACGATGACATGCAGCTAACTTGGTGAGTGAGATTCATGATATCAGGATTACACGTCATTTTCCTGAGCCAATTTTTCCCAAACTTCCTGTGTTAGCACACAGTTAAAGAGAGTGTGCCAAAACAGCACACTGCAAATGAACAGAGGATACAAAGAAGGGCAGTGGGAAGGCCCCAGGGTCCTGCTAAAATTACACACTACTGGAGGGCTCCTCGTGCCTGATGCTTTTTACACACAATCTCACGCACAAGCACATAAACACCCACAGTGATAGCTGCTGCTCTAAAGCCATTACAGCCTGTGCCGTCTGTCGCTGTGGCACATGTGCGTAAAGCCATCCTTCCTCTCCCTTTATCTATCCCTCTACCTCTTTTCCTCTGTTGTCTTCATTGCACACGTGTCACCAGAGCAGGGAGACAGATGGTACCCCACTGACCTCAGGGACAACCTAATTCGGTGTGGTGAGAGAGAGCCTGTGTAATACAGACTCATGAGAAACAGGAGAATGAAATTATATTGAAGGGGAAAACATCCTGTTGTGTGGAGAAGAAATGATTACCACCAAAACATCACAGCTACATGTTTAATGTAGAGTTATTAACTCTACATTAAACATGATATGACTGAGGATGGATGGAGTAAGGATGAGAAAACTTTTTTTTTTCACCAAATTCCCTAAAATTGACTCATCCTGGTGAGAGCACTGTCAGCCATTTTCTATCCCAGGCAGTGCTTCCATCACATTAAACCACTAAATGGGTTGTGTGTGCATGTGATTATTGGTTTTCCCTCCTATACACCCAACTCTGAACACATAAGAAAGAAGGTTCTAAACATGAAGATTAGAAAAGGCTGCACAGTGAGAAACAGTCTCAGTCATGTGATGCTGAGTCCTGGAACCAATCACCAAAAGTTCAGAGGACAACAGGAAGTCAGGGGTCAGGCCACTGACCCCATGAATTCCTGTTTTTCAGCTACTGCTTTATTCTTTGACTCTTTTCCCCACCCCTCTTACCATTTTATTTCCTTGGCCCCTTTCCCCCCCCTCCCCCCCCCCCCCCCCCAATCTCTCCCTCTGTCATCCTGTTCCCCTCTGTCTCCCAGCTATTCCACTGAGCCAACACTGCAGGACCTATTTTCATCTGTTTGTCTCCTCCTCTCCATCTGTTAGAAGCACTTATGTTTCCCCCTTTCCTCTTTCTTTGCCATTTCTTCAGCTATCTTCAGCCTCCTCCTCTCTATCTGCAACTCTCTTAACCATAAAGAACAGTTCTTCTCTGCCAGTTTAGTTACTGAAAGTCAGAGATCGTGACCACATTTCCTAGCACTGGGTCAGATTAAATATTAAGCACCCTCTTAACTCTGCCCAAACCTCTAGTAGGTGTACAAAGCTCTAAGAGCTTTTCACCATGTAGGAAGATTCTTCTGCTAAAACAAATGTGGTTTCATCTAAAATACTGCAGAGCTACGTGACTGAAGAAATCTAGGTTATTATTCTACTGTTGGGAGTCAAAGCATCACAACAATGTTACTAACCTGCTCCCTTTACAGATGTACCATCACAATATCAAAACTGCACATGAAACAAATGTTTTAGATACTTATGCACCTCCAAATCCCATACATCCATACTGAAACACATGTATTGGTCTCATCCCACCATGGCATATTCCACAAATGCTATCCCAGCTCTCTCACTTGAGGCCTCACCTCACTGGCTGAGTTCATAAGGTGCTTCCTGCTGAGTGTCATGTTGAGTGTGTTGTTGTGACTCAGCATGGGTGTCTTCATAAATACAAAGTCACTTCGGCTGGATATGGTGGAATAGCAGGGCCTGTAAGTGCGTGTGTGTGGCTCCTGGGGGCCTCCCACAACCTCCATATAACGTATGGGTCCATCAGTGTTGAGCTGCAGGTGCAGGTCCTTGCTGGGCCTCTGATGATAGCGGCTGGACCTGTGGCGACCGTAGCAGCAGCAGTCAGAGCCTCCCAGGCCTGGGTCACGGTGCCTTAGGCAGCGTACCATGAGGATGACAAAGGTGATAAAGGAAACAGCTGATACACAGGCTAAAGAGATGATGAGGTACAGGGTGATGTCCGACATCCCGGTGCGGTGGTAGAAGGGTGTGTGGCGAGGGCTTGCTGGAGCATCGTGGGCTGTGCCCTTCTCATCCACAGTTACTGTAATGTTCACAGAACTGGACTTTGGTGGGTCACCATTGTCCTGAATGATGACCACAATGTCATAAACTGAGCCCCCTTCCTCCTCAGCCCACTTGTGGGTTGTGCGGAGCTCCCCGGTGTGCGCCCCAATACGGAACATGCCGGAATTTGGTCCAGGGCCGATGGAGTAAAACAGCCATGCATTGTGCCCACTGTCTGCATCCATCCCTACAAGTTTAATTATGAAGTGTCCTGGGCTGGCTGATGGGGGGACATTGAGGTGTAATCCTTTGTCTTTTGGGTAAGAGGGGTGTACAATCACTGGTGCATTGTCATTCACATCCACCACAAACACATGCACAGTGACGTTGGCTGTCCGTGGGGGCACCCCAGCATCCCGGGCCTGCACCTCAATACGGAAAGCGTTAAGCTGTTCATGATCCAGAGAGCGCATGCTGTAGATGTGGCCACTCTCTGGGTTAATGTAGACATAAGAAGCAATAGGTGAGCCCTGGACCATGCTGGGAAGGATGGAGTAGGAGATGCGAGCATTGTCGCCAAGGTCTGGGTCAGTGGCTGAAACAACAGCGATGGGGGCACTGGGAGCATTGTTCTCCGGGATGTCCACAGAGTATGAAGGCTGAGAGAAGGTGGGAGCATTGTCATTTACATCTGAGAGCTTTACCACAAAGGTAGTTTGTGATGAAAGGCAAGGGGAACCAGCATCAGTTGCCCTGATGACCACTGTGTACTCTGGGACAGTCTCACGGTCCAGGTTGCCAGCAGTGATGAGGCTGTAATGCATGCCAAAAGCTGAATTAAGTTTGAATGGCAAACCTGGTTGGACAGTTAATGTGACCTCCCCATTCTCACCAGCGTCCAGATCCCGTGCACTTATGAGCGCTATCACTGTCTCTGGTGCAGAGTCCTCTCTGATAGGGCTGGTCAATGATGTCAGTGTCACCTCTGGTGCGTTGTCATTCACATCGATGATGTCCACGATGACATTACAGGAGCCCTCCATAGCAGGAGAGCCACCATCTCTGGCCTGCACGGTGATGTGATATGCAGTAGCTTTCTCATAATCTACATCACCCTTCACACGGATCTCCCCACTTTTAGAATCCACACTGAAAAGTCTGAGAACCCGTTCCGGTGTATATTTACTGAACAGGAAAGATATTTCTCCATTGTTACCCGAATCCGCGTCAGTCGCGTTCAGTTTAGTTACTAAAGTGCCCCGTGCAACATTTTCTAATAGCTTAACTTTCTTTACCGGTTCGTCAAAGACGGGAGCATTGTCATTTACATCCAGAATTTTAATGAGCAGAAGTGTTGAGCCAGATTTCTCAGGCTGACCCCCATCTACAGCAGTGAGCAACAGGCGAAACTTGGCCTGCGTCTCCCTGTCCAAAGGTTTGTCCACTACTAGCTCTGGAAATTTGCTGCCGTCACTTTTACTTTCCACATTCAAAGTAAAAAAGTCATTTGCTGCGAGATGGTAAGTGCGTAACGAGTTGGTACCCACGTCTGGGTCGTGTGCGCTCTCCAAACGGAACCTCGTGCCCGGCGCAGCCGCCTCTGATATCTCCAAAGAAATGTTGCTGGTAGAAAACTGCGGTGCATTGTCATTCACATCCAGAATGTCCACCACGACGCGATGAATTTCTAAAGGATCCTCCATAAGTATTTGAAGGTGTAGTGAACATGTTGAACTTAGTTCACACATTTGCTCCCTGTCAATATTTTGTTTAATAACCAAATCGCCGGTCGCCTGCTTTACCTCAAAGTACTGCGTTGTGGACTCCGAGACCACCCGCAACCTTCTCTGATCAATCCGCTGAGCAGTGAGACTCAAATCTTTAGCAATATTCCCAACGACAGAGCCCGGGCTTAGTTCCTCCGATACGGAATAGCTGAGCTGAGCGGACGCACAGGAGAGGCAAGCTAGATAAAAGCAAATCCTCCACAGCCTCCCTCCTCCGGAGCGCTTCCTCTGTCTGGAGTCCATTGTGCTGCGCTCCGAGGATCGGGGAATGGGAAAGTTTCTAACTTCTTCTTTCACCGTAACGTATCCATAGTGGTATTAAAACGAGGCTACCAGGTTCGATGGTAAACATTTCCGTTTTAAAAACAGAGCGATGGGAAGTTTTGATGTGATCATGACGGACGACTTTAAGGAGAAAACGAGGACGAAAATCAAAGTATTTTCCGTCTCCACTGAAACTCTCTGCTCTATCTCCACCGCTTCACTCCCCTCGTGGGCGGGGAGAGGCCACGGAGGCCTTCCCTCTCATTGGAAGACTGGGCTGGACCAGTGCTGTCACACAGCTCTCTTTCACACACACACATACATACTGAAAACTTTTCAGTGACTCCACTTCCACTGACAGGCAAGTAGGCTATTTGCTTCATTTTCATTTTAAAAGTTTGAGAGGACTTTACAAAGGGAAAAAACTTAAGAGGAACATCTTATGGCTGAGCAAATCAATTTTACATAATCAAAGAAAAAGTGGAGTGTAGATGTGATCTTATTGTTCTACTTTTTCTACTAAAAAGTCTCTCACATGCCCTCACTGAGAGCTCCTCGTGCCAAGACAGCGGTATATCAAACAGCTGTTATTTATAGCGATGCTATTTGTATCCGCAGGGGGGCACAGTTTCCAAAGTGTTTTTTTTCCTCAACGGAAGGCCATATCAAAGGAAAATTGAAATTAATTATAAAGTTTAGTCGTTCTACAAAATATTTCAAAGAATATAAAAGATATAAAAAAAGGCAAGCAGCAGACAGTTTGAAGATGCAGGTTATATTGCCCGAATGAAAGAGCACATTTTTGTTCGAAAAGAAAAAGCAATAATAAAGTATAATTACTGAAGGAATACGAATAATGTAGTTTATTAAAGTTGGAATAAATTAATTAAATGAAAGAATGTTGAACAAGAAATAAAGACTAAACCCTAATCTCCTTTGACCTGAACATTTAAACTGAAGATAAATATTTTTACTCTAGCATTAAGAAATGCAAAAAATTGATAATCATTATGTTTTAACTAAGGTATACAACCATCCATCGAAATAACAATATCATATTATCCTATTATAACTATTGCGATAACCAAAGTTTTACTTTTATTAAAGCTATTGTGACATTAAATTTCATTTAAACTGTCAGATATGTTGAAATGGTTCAAATATATCGTGATTAACGTCATAATTACCAAAACATGAGGGCTGGAAGTATCACGTAGGCCTATTTGTACAGTGTAAAAAATAAAACGTGCTCTGCTACGTAGCTCATGAGCAACAACAACAAACACTGGTGCTGAACGTAGGCTAGCCATATAAAGTTTGGCAGAGAGTTTGTGCCATTTGGTTTGCGTTATAGAGAAGCAGTAGCCTACATACTTCTTCTGTTTACCCATAATCAAGCAAAGAATTGCAAAAATGAAATCGCTCAATGGATATAAGAACAAAACAAACACCAACGAAAAATGAGGCAAAAGGAAAAGTAAATTGGGGGAATTCTGCTTTGCACGGTTTTACAGAAACAATTTAATTCGTTGCCTTTTGATTTTCTGCTCACCTGCTGGCTCTCAAAGGTCCAGGTGCTGTCGGGTAAAGACGCATCCAGGACACTGATCACCTCCTTAAAGTCAGTGGTGCTGCTGGGCTTAATGAGTGTGAAATCACTGTACTCTGACATTGGAGACATGCAGGACCTGAAGGACTGACTCTGAGACAACATGTCTCCTCCCAGGACCTCCACGTACTTTATAGGTCCATCAGTATTGAGCTGAATCTGCAGGTTTCTGTTGGGGTTCTTGTAATCATCACAGTCGGACCGTCTCATGCAGCAGCTACCGCTGCTTCTGCTGCTCCTGACGCATTTAACCGCTAAGATGAGAAAAGTCAACAGAGACAGCACGGACACCGAGGCCAGAGACAGAATCAAATAAAGGGTGATTCTCCCAGTTTTCTTGCTGGGCTCGGCCGCTTTCTGTCGGAGGTCTAAGATGGGCTCATGGAGACCGTCCTCCAGCAGGATGGACACCGTGACGGTGGAGGACTGGACCGGTTCCCCGTCGTCCCTGATCTCTATAAGCAGCCTCTGAGAGGAGTCGTCCTGCTCGGACACAGCGCGTTTAGTCCTCACCTCCCCTGTGTACAGATTGACAGTGAACAGAGAGGCGTCTGTGGCCTCCGCCAGTTTGTAGGAGATCCAGGCGTTATGGCCCGAGTCAGCGTCCACGGCCGTCACCTTAGTAACCAGGTGACCCGCTTTAGCGGAGCGGGGCATCCTCTGATGAGAGAGGGAGCCCAGGGCAGCGGAGGAGGGGTAAATAACAGCGGGGGCGTTGTCGTTCCGGTCCAGGATAAAAACATGGACAGTGGCATTGCTGCTGAGAGACGGAGAGCCCTGATCCTTTGCCTGAACCTGAATCTGAAACACCTTCAGTTTCTCATAGTCAAACGACTGCATGCTGTAGATGCTGCCGTTATCTGAGTTAATGTAAACATACGACGAGGCAGAAACGTCCTGCAATTTAGAATCCATTATAGAGTAAGAGATTTTAGCATTTTCACCAAAATCCAGGTCAGAGGCTGATACTGAGTACAGTATAGATCCTGGTACCCCATTCTCTTTTAAATATACATTATAGGAGGGCTGAGTGAATACAGGAGGGTTGTCATTCACATCAGTGATGCTGACTGGTATAGTTTTCTTACTGGACAGAGGAGGAGAGCCTGAATCAGTGGCAGTTATTTCAATATCATAGTGTGAGGAGCTCTCTCTGTCTAAAGCACCACTAGTAACCAGTGCGTAATTATTAGAAAAAGAAGGTTTCAGATCAAAAGGTGAGCCCTTGGCTAATTTTAATGTTACTCTGCCGTTATCGGCAGAGTCAAGGTCTCGTGCACTGATCAAAGCCACTACGGTGCCACTTGGTGCATCTTCGCGTACTGGCTTTGGCTGAGACGTGAGGACAATTTCAGGAGCGTTATCATTGAAATCAGTAATATCAACTTGCACGCGACAGTGGCCCTCCATTTCAGGACTGCCTTTGTCTTTTGCAGTTACATCGATGTCATATGACTTGGCAGTTTCATAGTCTAACTCCCCTTTCAGACTGATTTCACCTGTTAACGCGTTAATATCAAAGATGGACAACACAACATCTGGCGTCCGAGAGCCAAATGAAAATTCAATTTCACCATTTGAACCTTCATCCGCATCTGTTGCTTTGGGCTTGATAACAATTGCCCCTTTTATACTTTTTTCACCTAGGATTACTTTGTAAACGTTTTTTTCAAAGACTGGGAAATTATCATTTATGTCAAGCACACTTATTGTTATTTGTGAGGTTCCAGATCTTACTGGATTCCCACCATCTAATGCTGTTAGTAATATTTTGTGAACAGCTTTTTTCTCTCGATCTAGAGGTTTTTCTAAAACAAGTTCAGGAACGGTCTTCCCGCCCTCTATTTCTTTGATTTTAAGGGAACAACACTCATTTTTACTAAGAGTATATGTTTTAAGCGAATTGCTTCCAACGTCGGGGTCCGTTGCGCTCTCCAAAGGAAAGCGGGTGCCAACTGCTGCTGATTCGGCTAATTTCAAAGACAATTCATTTGAAAGGAAACTTGGAGAGTTGTCATTAATATCTCGTATTTCAACCTCAATGCGGTGTAACTGTAGCGGGTCCTCAATAACCACTTGCAGAGGTAGAACACAGCTGGCGCTTTGTCCGCATAAAGCCTCTCTGTCTATTCTGTCACTCACCACCAGCTCACCCTTCCCCACATCCACACTGAAATACTGCTCACCAGCCTCAGAGGCGACTCGCAGTTTACGTTCAAAAATCTCAGACAGTCCCACACCCAGATCTTTGGCTAGATTTCCTACCACAGAGCCCTGTTTTAGTTCCTCCGGGATGCTGTAACGAGTCTGTCCGTCTATTGAAGTCCACAAGAGAAAGAAATGATGCCACCAAAGCGCCTGCCATCTCCAGTCTCGGTATCCTATTCTCTTTGTCATCTCTGATTCAGTAAAATACATCATTTCCAATCCACAGTAACAAAGAACATAAAGTCAAAATCCATATTCCAAGAGCGTGACATATTCCATTAAAAAGATGCCTGGTCATGGTCAAAGATAAATATAAAATATAACCTGATTCTTCGAGTAGTATATGAACCATTTACCTACTCTCCCCCCATTCTGAGCACAGTGGTTTTGGTGCTGAAGCTGCATGGGGGAGGGAGTAGATCTCTTTGTACAGTTCTGAATACTATTGGTGCACAGCATCCATCTCTCACATCCAATGAGAGCGGGACTGACGAGCAACGTTAAAGACACACACACCATTTTACACTGTCATGAAATAGCAAGTGAAACACCACGAGGAGATGCAGTATAGCACATGACTTATATTAATGTAATATAAATAAATTGATTAAGTCAGTGTTTTATTTTCATAAAATTTACTGTTAACATTCGATTCCGCAGACACCAAATTTGTTTTGTTGGTTTTTATTTCTGGTGCATAAATGCCATCACCCGCTTGTATTTAGCTCTGTCAAAAAGCCCAAACATGAAATAAGTGAAAATAAGTATATTAGTTAAATATTCATGCATTTCAGTGTTAACCCTTGGGTAAATGCCATCCAGAATAATCTATTAGCGTGCCCTCCATACGCCCCCGGGGTCAGAGTCGCTGTCCATCCCTGTGGTGCTGAAAGGCTCAGCTATAAAAGATGCCCAACATGCAACACACTATTTACGTAAAATTATACCAGCGGCTATGCCTCAAAAGTTGATGTGGTTAACTAGATAATTACAAGTTTTAATTTGGATATAAATGTATTATTTTCATTTAAAATACATCGACTAACAAATAAACTGAAATTTACAGGACTGCTGAATTGCAAAGCTATTATGATTCCTAAAAAAGAAAGCGTAAGTTCCGTTTCCTTTGTGGCCACTGTAGTTTAGGCAATGGTGTTAAATATATGTAGCCTATGTGTCATTTTGTGTATTACTCTATGCTCACCTGCTGGCTCTCAAAGGTCCAGGTGCTGTCGGGTAAAGACGCATCCAGGACACTGATCACCTCCTTAAAGTCAGTGGTGCTGCTGGGCTTAATCAGAGTGAAATCACTGTACTCTGACATTGGAGACATACAGGACCTGAAGGACTGACTCTGAGACAACATGTCTCCTCCCAGGACCTCCACGTACTTTATAGGTCCATCAGTGTTGAGCTGAATCTGCAGGTTTCTGTTGGGGTTCTTGTAATCATCACAGTCGGTCCGTCTCATGCAGCAGCTACCGCTGCTTCTGCTGCTCCTGACGCATTTAACCGCTAAGATGAGAAAAGTCAACAGAGACAGCACGGACACCGAGGCCAGAGACAGAATCAAATAAAGGGTGATTCTCCCAGTTTTCTTGCTGGGCTCGGCCGCTTTCTGTCGGAGGTCTAAGATGGGCTCATGGAGACCGTCCTCCAGCAGGATGGACACCGTGACGGTGGAGGACTGGACCGGTTCCCCGTCGTCCCTGATCTCTATAAGCAGCCTCTGAGAGGAGTCGTCCTGCTCGGACACAGCGCGTTTAGTCCTCACCTCCCCTGTGTACAGATTGACAGTGAACAGAGAGGCGTCTGTGGCCTCCGCCAGTTTGTAGGAGATCCAGGCGTTATGGCCCGAGTCAGCGTCCACGGCCGTCACCTTAGTAACCAGGTGACCCGCTTTAGCGGAGCGGGGCATCCTCTGATGAGAGAGGGAGCCCAGGGCAGCGGAGGGGCCCCCGCCAGTTTGTAGGAGATCCAGGCGTTATGGCCCGAGTCAGCGTCCACGGCCGTCCCCTTAGTAACCAGGTGACCCGCTTTAGCGGAGCGGGGCATCCTCTGATGAGAGAGGGAGCCCAGGGCAGCGGAGGAGGGGTAAATAACAACGGGGGCGTTGTCGTTCTGGTCCAGGATAAAAACATGGACAGTGGCGTTGCTGCTGAGAGACGGAGAGCCCTGATCCTTTGCCTGAACCTGAATCTGAAACACCTTCAGTTTCTCATAGTCAAACGAGTGCATGCTGTAGATGCTGCCGTTATCTGAGTTAATGTAAACATACGACGAGGCAGAAACGTCCTGCACTTTAGAGTCCAGTATAGAGTAAGAGATTTTAGCATTTTCACCAAAATCCAGGTCAGAGGCTGATACTGAGTACAGTATAGATCCTGGTACCCCATTCTCTTTTAAATATACATTGTAGGAGGGCTGAGTGAATACAGGAGGGTTGTCATTCACATCAGTGATGCTGACTGGTATAGTTTTTTTACTGGACAGAGGAGGAGAGCCTGAATCAGTGGCAGTTATCTCGACATTATACTCTGCGAAACTCTCTCTGTCTAAAGGACCACTGGTAACCAGTTCATAATTATTAGAAAATGATGGTTTAAGAGTGAAAGGAGAATGTTTGGGCAGCTGTAGTTTCACTTTACCGTTATTAGCGGAATCGAGGTCTCGTGCACTGATTAAAGCCACAACTGTGTCACTTGGCGCGTCCTCGCGTACTGGACTGGGTTTTGAAGTGAGCACAATTTCTGGAGCGTTATCGTTTATGTCCTCTACGTCCAGCTGTACACGACAGTGACCCTCCATTTCGGGGACGCCTTTATCTTTAGCAGTTATATCGATAAGATATGATCTATAGCTTTCATAATCTAATATTCCTTTTAATACAATTTCACCTGTCATGTCGTTGATTTCAAATGTTGATAACACAAAGTCTGGAGTGCGGGACCCAAAAGCATATTTAACTTCACCATTAAGACCATCGTCAGCATCTGCAGCTGTAAGTTTAATAACAAATGTTCCTTTGGTGCTGTTCTCCTTTAAAGAGACTTTGTATTCATTTTCATCGAACACTGGAAAATTGTCGTTTATATCAAGTACAGTGATAGTGATCTTACACGTTCCCGAGGTGACTGGGTTTCCTCCATCTAATGCTGTTAACAGCAGCTGATGAAGAGCATTCTTTTCTCGGTCTAATGGCTTTTCTAACACTAATTCTGGGACGGCTTTTCCGTTTTTTGTGTCTTTAAATTTGAGAGAAAAATAATCGTTTTTGCTTAGAGAGTAGGTTTTCAAAGAATTGCTTCCAACATCTGGGTCCTCTGCGCTCTCCAAAGGAAAGCGTTTGCCAAGCGCAACTGATTCTGGTATTTTAAGGTTTATCTCCTGTGTAAGAAAATGTGGTGAATTGTCATTTATGTCTCTTATTTCTATTTCAATTCGATGAGACTGCAAAGGATTTTCAGCAACTACTTGGAGAGGTAGAACACAGCTGGCGCTTTGTCCACATAAAGCCTCTCTGTCTATTCTGTCATTCACCACCAGCTCGCCCTTCCCCGCATCCACACTGAAATACTGCTCACCAGCCTCAGAGGCGACTCGCAGTTTACGATCAAAAATGTCAGATAATCCTAAACCCAGATCTTTGGCTAGATTTCCTACCACAGAGCCCTGTTTTAGTTCCTCCGGGATGCTGTAACGAATCTGTCCGTCTATTGTAGTCCACAAGAGAAAGAAATGATGCCACCAAAGAGCCTGCCATCTCCAGTCTCGGTATCCTATTTTCTTTGTCATCCTTGGTCCGTTATAGCACATTAATTCCAAACGAAATCTCTTTTATAGCAATAATGAAATCCATGATAGTAGGAAAAACCCCAAAAGAAAAAGTATCACAGTGTCTGAACATGGTTGTAAGCTAAAATGTATATCGCTAAATTTTAGAAAACGCGAGCCCATTGCCGTCTCTCCCCGAGCTCATTGTATTCTAAGTGTTGCAGCACTGAGGCTGCATGGGGGCAGGGAGTAGATTGCTTTGTACAGTTCTGAATCCTATTGGTGCACAGCATCCATTCCCACCATCCAATGAGAGTGGAACCGATCGAGATTTTTAAAGTGGCAGCATTTGTTCTCGTTCTGTGCTTTCATCTGACTGATCAAGTATCTATCACAGTCAAATAATATGGGGAACCTTGTCATTGACACAAATAAAAAAAATGGAAAAACGCCTGTCAGTCAGCACCCAAAACAATCAAGAGATACAATTAAATTTCGTATCCCAGAAAAATGTGAAAGCATGAGAAATATTGAACAGTTATATACTGTATATAATTGTAAAGAGTAGCCTAAATACATCAACAATGTTGTAATGCTACAAGATAGTGGGCGCATTTCACAGTCGCTGTCCTGGTGCTGAATTGTTCAGATGTGTACATGTAACACTAAATTGATACATGCCTTTAACATAGTTATTTTCATTGTTTCTGAAGGCATTTCATACACGTAACTTGGTTTTTCCTACACGGAAATCCGAATTTATAATAGAGATTGCAAAAACGTGTGATGAAAACAATATTTACCAGCCATGGTAGATTGGTGGATTGAAGGATGGATGGATAGATGGATGGATGGATGGATAGATGGATGGACTTTCATAACAGACTATGATATGAGTACTTCTTGTACTTAATAACAAATAGCCATGATCTTTATATTTTCTTCGATAAGATAAATGGTTGTTTTCTGCTCACCTGCTGGCTCTCAAAGGTCCAGGTGCTGTCGGGTAAAGACGCATCCAGGACACTGATCACCTCCTTAAAGTCAGTGGTGCTGCTGGGCTTAATCAGAGTGAAATCACTGTACTCTGACATTGGAGACATGCAGGACCTGAAGGACTGACTCTGAGACAACATGTCTCCTCCCAGGACCTCCACGTACTTTATAGGTCCATCAGTGTTGAGCTGAATCTGCAGGTTTCTGTTGGGGTTCTTGTAATCATCACAGTCGGTCCGTCTCATGCAGCAGCTACCGCTGCTTCTGCTGCTCCTGATGCATTTAACCGCTAAGATGAGAAAAGTCAACAGAGACAGCACGGACACCGAGGCCAGAGACAGAATCAAATAAAGGGTGATTCTCCCAGTTTTCTTGCTGGGCTCGGCCGCTTTCTGTCGGAGGTCTAAGATGGGCTCATGGAGACCGTCCTCCAGCATGATGGACACCGTGACGGTGGAGGACTGGACCGGTTCCCCGTCGTCCCTGATCTCTATAAGCAGCCTCTGAGAGGAGTCGTCCTGCTCGGACACAGCGCGTTTAGTCCTCACCTCCCCTGTGTACAGATTGACAGTGAACAGAGAGGCGTCTGTGGCCTCCGCCAGTTTGTAGGAGATCCAGGCGTTATGGCCCGAGTCAGCGTCCACGGCCGTCACCTTAGTAACCAGGTGACCCGCTTTAGCGGAGCGGGGCATCCTCTGATGAGAGAGGGAGCCCAGGGCAGCGGAGGAGGGGTAAATAACAGCGGGGGCGTTGTCGTTCTGGTCCAGGATAAAAACATGGACAGTGGCGTTGCTGCTGAGAGACGGAGAGCCCTGATCCTTTGCCTGAACCTGAATCTGAAACACCTTCAGTTTCTCATAGTCAAACGAGTGCATGCTGTAGATGCTGCCGTTATCTGAGTTAATGTAAACATACGACGAGGCAGAAACGTCCTGCACTTTAGAGTCCATTATAGAGTAAGAGATTTTAGCATTTTCACCAAAATCCAGGTCAGACGCTGATACTGAATACAGTATAGATCCTGGTACCCCATTCTCTTTTAAATATACATTATAGGAGGGCTGAGTGAATACAGGAGGGTTGTCATTCACATCAGTAATAATGACATTAATAGTTTTCTTACTGGACAGAGGAGGAGAGCCTGAATCAGTGGCAGTTATCTCAATGTTATACTCTGAGAAACTCTCTCTGTCTAAAGGACCATTTGTAACTAGTGCGTAATTATTAGAAAAAGATGGTTTCAAAATGAAGGGTGACCCGTTTTGGAGTTTTAACGTCACTTTTCCGTTATCACCGGAGTCAAGGTCTCGTGCTCTGATTAAAGCAACTACCGTGCCTCTCCGTGAGTCCTCCCGTACCGGATTTGGTTTTGAAGTGAGAACTATTTCTGGGGCATTGTCATTAATGTCAATTACTACTACTTGCACACGACAGTGCCCCTCCATCTCAGGAACTCCTTTATCCTTCGCAGTTATATCTATTTCATGTATTGTATTGATTTCATAATCTAACGGCCCAACAATGGAGATCTCACCTGTATCCGAATGTAAAAGAAAAATGGACAACAATGACTGCGGTGTGTGATCAGAAAATACATATTCAATCTCTCCATTAACACCCTCATCTGCGTCTGTTGCTTCAACTTTTACAAGTACAGAACCAGCGACAGTATTTTCATGCACAGTTACATTATATAACGGCCTTTTGAAAACAGGGACATTGTCGTTATTGTCAAGTACAGTAACGATGATTTTTGTGGTTCCAGTTTTGACAGGATTGCCTCCGTCTAAAGCCGTCAGTAGTAACTGGTGTACGCTTTGTTTCTCTCTGTCAAGTGATTTCTCTAGTACTAGTTCCGGAACCTTTCGATTACCTGGCAACTCTTTAATCCTTAAACTAAAACACTCATCTTTACTCAGAGTATAAGATTTAACCGAATTACTACCAACGTCCAGATCCTGGGCTGTTTCCAAAGGGAAGCGTATGCCTGTGGCAGTGGATTCTGCAATCTTTAAAGATCGCTCCTCTGTTGAAAAAATCGGAGAATTGTCATTTATGTCCCTTATTTCTACTTCTATCCGGTGTAGTTGTAGCGGGTTCTCTGTTACAACCTGTAAAGGCAACACACAGCTGGCGCTTTGTCCGCATAAAGCCTCTCTGTCTATTCTGTCATTCACCACCAGCTCGCCCTTCCCCGCATCCACACTGAAATACTGCTCACCAGCCTCAGAGTCAACACGCAATTTACGTTCAAAAATGTCAGATAATCCCAAACCCAGATCTTTGGCTAGATTTCCTACCACAGAGCCCTGTTTCAGTTCCTCTGGGATGCTGTAACGAGTCTGTCCGTCTATTGTAGTCCACAAGAGAAAGAAATGATGCCACCAAAGCGCCTGCCATCTCCAGTCTCGGTATCCCATTCTCTTTGTCATCCCCGGTCCGTTAGAATATGTTATTTCCCATCGCGGTTTTCACCAACACAACCCAGCATTCAAAGCCATCATCAGAATGGGCATTCCAATGTAAATAAATCCTCAAATAATTGGTAATCAAATATATATTCGGGACTTCTTCGAAAAAACGCATCTCCTCTCCAGCACTGAGACTGTGAGGGTTACCGTGGTGAGAGTGAATGGGGGATGGAGTAGATCTCTTTGTACAGTTCTGTATGCTATTGGTTCACAGCATCCACCTTTCCTATCCAATCACAGAGAGCTAACTCTG